TCCTGGCGATTCCAGAACACCAAACCGTTTGACTGTAGCTCAATGGACAACGGAGCTACAGCCTTTTAAAAAATGGTACTCTTTGGCCCAGTCCATAAACTTGCCAAATAGCAGAACTCTAAACACCTGTAACTCGGTAACTACTGGTCCGATTTCGGCCAAATGTCGTGTGTATTGGTAGAGTGGGATTGGCTGTTATAGTGCCTAATTGTAGTCACGCAGCATATAAGAGAGAAATGATACATAATTCATGTATAACAACATTTTTAACCTATTGCTCCTGATCAGAGCATTGACAACGCAATAAGAAACGGACTATACAAATAGATTTACATTTGGCCTGGTATCTTCAACGGTTCCGCAAGGAAAAAAGTGCAACTTGGTATGAAATATCGACATCGTAGTTTTTTTATGTGGAAGCTCATATCTGCATTGGCGCGAATTCACAATACACAACGGATGTGTATTGTCCTCGCAGCGTGTCAGCTTGAGCATGGGTCAGTCGATTGCATATTGGAGCGAGAGCCATGGTAACGGTATAGCGAGATAGCACTAGCGCTGTAGCATGCTAATTAAACTGTATTGTATTACCACAATTAAAGGTATTAACAGACGGGTAATCCGTTCACTTGATGTTTCGACGGTAGAAGTGACATTTTAACATGGTGTGAGAGTGCTCTAGATTTCTATAGTCTGTTTCTGTATGGATTTTCTTCACGCTGTATGTAGTACCCTCTGCCAGCGGAAAGCACTCCGTTTCGCGCAATTGCACGTATTGAGGATACATCCAGTTGTGTGTAAAACGCATAACAGAACCAGACACCTTGTACGACATGATGTATGGAGAGCATTAATGTTTTCAGCTGGATCTACATCAACATCGTATTTTTTGTTAGTTAGCGGTGCATGTGAAAGCTCATATCTGCATTGGTTACTTACTTACTTTGGAGATTTAACGTGCGCTTTCCGACTGATGCGTATTTCGCACACGCCATATCTGCATTGGAGCGAAATCCCCTTTTTATAATGCGAACCTGTTCATTATTGAAAATTCCATTGTGTTTTTTTCTGAAACATCCCTGATATAATCCCAACTTTAGGAAGTATTATTTACCGATATCATTATCATTTAGAAACCGGTCCCTTTCTTATCTTACTTAAGTGCAATGATCTCTATTGCGTCTACAGCTAATCCTCTTTTAAACTTTGATCACAAAAGCTTGAAAGACTGGGGTTTTCTTTGCTGATTGGTTGAATTGCTTCAACAAGAAGATGACAAGAGGTGACCGACATGTGTTGTTACTGTTAGATAATGTCCCAAGCCATCTCATGCCTTAGCACGTGTCAAATGTCAACATCCATTTCCTGCAAATTACAACAACAGGTCACCAACACCCATGCATGCTGGTATCATCCATCCTAAACAGGTCCAGAGCCAAAATGGACAATTTTTTCTTGGTCAAAACGGACCGGTGAAATATCCTATTGATACTCCAGATCATATTATAGTCATACACAGTATAGCACATATCCTTCCGCATATCGGAAGGCAATTATATAACAACAGTAGAAAATGACTTAATGGTAATAGATTAGGGTCTCTAAGAACTCAGTTTCAATGGTTTTTAGTACTCTGTATAACCAGAGTGCGATTTTGTAAAAGGACTTCTATGAATGGAGAGCAGGATCCGCTGCTACAATTTCCGATAGGGAGCCCGCATCGCTGCTTGCAACTATATTTATTCTTATTTATTTTTCCGCCGTCTTTTGTTTCAGAGCGAGCAAAGTAACCACTGGCTCGATTTTGTTCAAAATTTGTAAGTGTATGTAGACAGTACTTTTTGAAGATGTATTTCGCCCTATTGCTCCGCAACCACTTGTCTGATTACTTTCAAACTTTGCAAGTGTCTGCTGCTTTGGCTGCTTGACATTATTTGTTTTTCGACTTGGGTCATTGGTCGCGTGGTTTGGCAGCCATATTGGATTCAAGGTTTTCACAGTGTCTTTTGGGTACCTGTCTTCAAACGCAAACAACTTCGAGTCCACTGCCTGAAATGCTTTCAAACTTTCTGAGAACAGTCTTCATACAGAACACGACAAATTGTTACAGCCGTTTTTGGATATCCTTTTTAGTTGCGGCAATATTGGATTTTGATTTTGATCATTTTTGGTCACCGAAATTTTACTTTAAAGATCAGTAAGGTTCTCCACAGAAACTATTGATAGTTTACATGAAGTTAGTGTGCCATATGTACTTCATTTTTTTTCTTCTTTGACTTTGGTCATTGGTCACGCGGTTTGGCAGCCATATTGGATTCAAGGTTTTCACAGTGTCTTTGAGGTTCCTGTCTTCAAACGCAAACAACTCCGAGTCCACTGCATGAAATGCTTCCAAACTTTCTGAGAATTGTGTCCACACACAACACAGCAAACTCTAATAGCCGTTTTTGGATATCTGTTTTAGTTGCGGTTGTATTGGATTTTGATTTTGATCATTCTTTTACTGAAATTTTACATTAAAGATCATATCTTGTTAGTTTGTTGACAGAAACTATTGCAAGTTTACATGAAATTAGTGTGTCATATGCATCTTATTTACTGTTCTTGGATGCATGGAAAAAGTAACACCACATGGTGGTAATATTTGATTAATATTTGGGACACCCCTGGAACACGCCAATTTCGTAGCGGCAATGTCCTGCAAACGGTGACTATCTTTGGACAGAGTTGGTACAAGCAAACCCTTTGAGGATTCGGGTTTAGAACAGACCTAGCACACGTCAATTTCGTAGCGGTGATACATGTTGTGCCTACATTTGACGGATTTGGTACAAGGAATCCCTTTGAGGATTCGAACATGGACATTTATGCACAGTGTAACTCGGAGTCCGCCATTGCTGCTTTGCAGCTGTATTATCATTTGTTATTGGTTGTTTTATCTTGATTTGGTATGATAAACCTGGCATAGAAGGTATGGCGTGGGCAGCCTTACGAATGGGTACCAGTAGTGGATCAAGATCACATGGCGAGAAGAAAGATGCCGATGTCTTATATTCAGCACGGATTAAAGTCAAATATTCCGGAAAATTTGAATTAATGACATGCTGGAGTTACAACAATGAGAGAATGAATGGGAAAATGGAAGTTTTCCAAAGGGAACATGGTTTGCAAGAAACTACATTCTTGTGTTTCTTGTTGCTTTATTACTTTTCATAATTCGGTCCGGGAATTGGGAAGGTATAATTGTTTGGGACTGAAAATACCTGTACCTTTCAAGACTAAATATCATCCTGTGGCGTCATTATTTATGTGACTATCAGGACAAGGTTACTTGTGATTAACTAGAATTTGGTTTATATGGTGAATTATACAGATGATAGTAAGCCTTGTTCAGCTTTACGGAATGACACATCAGCCTTGTTGTTTTCTCAAGACACATCACACTATATTGAGAAGGAAGTTATGTTTGGCTTCATTGTTGGACCTTTTGTGAGTGACCAATTTCATGGCAAGCTGATTGTTTCACCATTACAGAGTATTCCTAAAAAAAGGAGAGGAAACGACTTGTAGAAGAAGTGTTGTGGATTTGAGTTTTCCGGCTTATCTTTCAGTTATTTGGAGGATGACTATCCTTTAAGTAAACAACAGTTGGATGTGTATGGACATAAGTATTTTGGTATTGCCTTTCCGTTTTGATTTTCAAACTGAAAAGTGGCATATTGCTGCATCGGAGTTTATGTCCATATATGGGGCAAGTTGCAGAAGGGTTTGAACATTTTAGTAAGATCTGACAATTCAGCGTGTGTGTCTGTCATCAATACAGGCTGGTCTCAGGATAAGTCGATGTAGAAACGTGCCAGGGAACTCTTGTTCCTTGCAAGTGTGCTATTCATTGTCCGGGAAGTTTCAATTCAATAGCTGATGCTCTAACCCACATGGTTACTGACCCTAAGTTTGCATATAAATGTCCTGATATGTATGTTAACAAATCTTTATCTTTGATAGAGGTACCTGATGATTGTTTCACATTTGTATGTGGTTGATAGCATAATTTGTTTCAGAACGGCAGCATCAGTTACACCAGCTTCAAAAGGATGTTACAGTGACTCAGAAGAGTGCATATTCCACAGGTCATTCTACAAATATACGCTCTCGGTAGAAAACATATTTTGCCTTTTGTTTGTACTCTCAGTTGTTACCTGTACCTGCGTTTCACACAAGGTCATGGTTTTGTGTCTGCAATTCATGAGCAGGCCAATGTCATCATTTAAATATTTAGGTAACATTGTGTCTAGTGTAAGACTTTCATGCATGGACTGGTTTCATATTTACATGTGATGCATCAATGTTTTTTACTACTCAGCTAAGAGGTTTGAGAAAGCAAATGAGACAGTTTGTCAAAAATTACCTATCACACCACAGTTGTAATACACTTATTTCTCAACGTTGGATTTCAGTAATAGTTTACATGTTTGCCTTAGGCAGCCTTTACTGTAGCCTTTTAGTGTCTTTTTTTAATGAAAAATCTAATCTCATTTCAATTGTTTGATAGGCATTACGTAGAAGTTGACAGAAGACAAAGTAGACACAATTTATGGATAACAAATTCCTTAATACTGTTACAACGACGTTAAGGTATAGATCCTCATACTGTTGTCGAGCAAGACAGCATTGTCAATCATACCACATACAAATCACCTCTGTTCTGTGAAAAACGTGTCCAGGATTTGTTGTAGCTATATCCAGATACTTTACTATTACAGAAATATTAGTATAATCATACAATCATATAATAGGCCATCAGCACATACAACTTGCGTTACAGGGCAGACAACATACCATCTTTGAGTTACATATTAACATTATTGTCTTTTAATTGCATTGCATCAAAACCAAGATTTCAAATGCAACATAAACAACAAGTTCCACTGTGGATGTATAATACACATGGAACCAAGATTGGATGTGCTCAGCTGAACAATACTTGAAACCAATAATAATAGTTTTCCTTCCTTTATCCAAAATGATTAAAACTCCATGACAGTACTGACAAAAATATCCTATATTATTACAAGATCATTAATGATTTCCCCCCACGAATCATGCAACAGTCAACAAATTTTACAAAAGTAAATAATCATAGTGCTCATATATATTACCACATACCTATATAACATATCTACAAGTCTGTGATATAACCATAAATGTTATTACAAACATCCATATTTACTCGCGTCCATATTTCAGCCAGCTAATGAAATGAGGATTTGTACTAACTTCAGGGAGTCAAATAAGCCTCATTTCATACATGAATATAATTTGAGTGAATACTACGGTTGCCGAGAAGAGAGCTATAGGCTATGACGCAGGCTGCACAAGAGTTGAAATGATCATAGTGCTCATTGGTCTGATCACTCGTTGGTTTCCCTCTCGCTGAAACCCATTCTAATCAAAATCAGATCTCAGTGTTCGCTACCATAACAAAAAGATATCAGGACATCCCATTACAGGTCAGATGAGAACGACCTTTCGCAAATTTTGACCGACCAATGAAATGATGAACAAGAAGTTTACATTAGTCAATCAGAAGTCCTGTTCAAGTTTTGTAGCACTACTTTCAAACTGAAGACTTCTATAGGAGCCCGAGCTTTCAAAAATATTTTGACAATGTTCTCGATTCAGACTCTGAAAACTGAGCAAAAGAAAATTCTTGATGTCTTATATATAGCGGAAGTTGTATGGCAGTACAAAGACGGCTGTATACTTCCCAAGGGGTACACACAGTCTCTTCTGGTTGAAATGTTTTATACCATAGAATCGAGAGATAAACGATCAGAATCAGTCGTATAGCCGTAAATGTCATTAAGCATACACTGTGTTAACCTTTTTGAGGTTTAATGATTAGAAACAAGTTCCTATTGTCACTTTCCCAATCTAGTAAGCCATGTTATGATTGGTTGGATGACAGATCGTGCTGATGTGAATTGTAATGGGATGTCCTAGATCTTAGAGCTCGATAAACAACTACTAAACAAAGATCTGATTTTATTGAGATTAGCTGGAATCAGGGCAGGATTCAATGGTTAAAGATAGCAACTACATCTTGAAGTGGTTATATCTATGCACATTACATTTTTTTACAGAAAATCAAGGTCAAAATTTTAGCGGGAAAAGAGAACATGTGAGCCCCACTACTAACTACACAACTACCTAATTGTATTTCAATTTGACGCAAAATTACAGAATAATGATCATAAATATGTTTTTCAATGTTGCTGCCATTGCAGCTTTATTGAAATTGAATTAAAACCTCTTCACATTTCCTTAGAGGTGGAAACAAGTATGTGAAGACTCAGATTCATTGGTCCGGTGGTTTCTGTGAAATTTTACAAAACATAAACAGCATTTGGAGAGAATAAAGAGCATATTCGAATGGCAAAGGTCAAATCAGGTTCAAATCTAAAATGTCTACCAAAATGGAATACTTTTTGAGCCCCACTATATTAGCTACACTTATACCAAATTTCATTACATTTGGAGTGAAAATGTCTGAGAAATTTCCATAATTAGCCATAATTAGCTTTTACAAACCGGTTGCGCTCACAAGTTGTTAAGCAAAGATATTTGTAAAATGTATATTTAAACATGTGTATGACTATTTAAGGAATAATAATGTGCTCACTAACCTACAATCTGGATTCATGCAGGGAGACTCCACCTCAAATCAGTTGACATATTTATATGACTTTATTGCAAAGGCTTTAGATGAAGGTAAGGAAGTTAGAGCTGTATTTTGTGACGCAAGTAAAGCTTTTGATAAAGTTTGGCACAAAGGAATAATTTATAAGCTACACCTTTATGGTATTTGTGGAAATTTATTGAGATGGTTTGATAGTTACTTAGAAAATCGATATCAAAAGGTAGTTATAAATGGCTATAGCTCAGATCCAAAAGCTGTCTTGGCAGGTGTGCCACAGGGCTCGGTCCTGGGACCATTATTGTTTATTATCTATATCAATGACATTGTTGAAGGAATACATAGTAATATAAGAATTTTTGCTGATGACACATCTTTGTATGTGATCATAGAAGATCCTGATATAGGGGCTCGTAATCTCAATAATGACTTGGACAGAATTTCAGAATAGGCTGCCAGATGGCAAGTTAAATTTAGTCCCGAAAAAACAGAATCTATTCAATTTACCCGTAAGGTAAACCCTAGTCCCAAACCTTACTTATATATGAATGGTACAGAAATCAAAGATGTATAAAGTCATAAGCACCTAGGTATTACTTTACAAAGTAATTGTACATGGAAAATGCACATTGATGATATTGTAAGGAAAGGTTGTCCTCTGGTTAACTATTTAAGGAGTTATAAATATCATCTATCCCGAACTACCTTAGAAACTATGTACAAATAATTTATTTTACCAATTTTTTATTATTGTTGTCATATTTGGGACAACTGTACTAATAAACAAGCTAACTTATTGGAAAAGTTACACTTAGATGCTCTTAGAACCATATGTGGCGCTTTCCGGGATACGAGTCATCAGAAGATTTACAATGAAACAAATTGTAGGTCATTAAAAGACAGAAGATACAATTTAAAACTGGTAATGTTTTACAAAATGAATAAGCATTTATCCCCAGAATATCTTTGTAGGTTTATTCCTGATACAGTTTCAGAAAACACAAATTATGACTAAAGGGATAAAACTAATCTTCAAACAGTGAAGTGTAAAACAAAAGCTTATGCAGATTCATTTATACCAGCTACAACACAACTTCGGAATATTTTACCAGAAAATCTGACGGGGGCAGAGACCATTACACAATTTAAGTATCTGCTTCAAGTAAAGGGAGATAATGGTTTACACTGGGATTTAAATTATGGAAGCAGATTATGCCAAATCATTCAGTCGCCTCAGGCTTGGCTGCAGCGATCTTAATGCAGATCAGTATAATAGATATATCTTTGATACAAAAACTTGTTCCTGTGGATATCATACCGAAGGTGCTCTACGCTTCTTTTTTGTGTGTACAAATTACTATGCTCTTCGAAATGAAATGTATTTTTACCAACATGGTTATTCTTTACAAACAGTGCTATGCAGAAATTTGTATTTGAGTAAGGAAGAGCAAATGCTACTATAAGATTCTATTCAACACTTTATATTACAAACTGGCAGATTTTCAGTTAAACGATTGTTTAAAATAAACTGCAAATAGATTTATTATATATACACATCTAGCTTGGCATGTACAATTTATTTGTTATACATCTAACCTTCATTTATGTATTCATTGTAATATGTCCTATGTGTAATGGAGCGGTATTAACATAAGCGCTTTGCTTGTTTACCAATCCATTTTCACACTTTTGTGAAAATAAATATGTTTAAACCAATTAGCTTTTTCAATAAAGCTGCCCTGGGTCTCTATAATAATAACAATAGGTTCTGATCATGAGCTAAACAGAATTTCAATGTGGGCCTAAGAATGCAGCAACAATGTCCAATGTCTTATATAATTAGCCTCAACAGCTTCTTTGTGACCACTGCCTTTATGTCTCTTCAAGGTAATAGTTATAAAATTGGTTTAAACATATTTCTATTTCATCACATACATGTAGAATGAAATGGGGATTGGTAAACAAGCAACAATGCTTATATTAATACCACTCCTGCTGATTACATATATACATTGACAGTTTTAATACATAAATAAAAAAATATCAAAAATACAAATATCATATAACTATAGATCTATAATAGAAAGGTATAATCAATGTATAAAATTAGAATGTAGCTTTGTTATTGAATTAGATTTCACATGATTTACTGGTATACAAAGTGAACATGTCGTAGTATTTCTTTCTGAGTTACGCTGCAATCACGTGTAGTCACAAAATCAGGTTCAATGAAAACTTCTATCTTTCTGTTTTTCTGCCTTTGCTCAGTCTGACATCATGGTCACTCTCAGGTGAGCCATGCGACTTATTCTGTATATCGCTAACATAACTTGTGGTCGGCGATCCTACGATAGAACTTTGGCATTATCAAAACTGTGCCTACCATATTTGAAAAATGTGTATTCTCAATTCTTATTGGACCATTTGTGACTTTCAGCCAATAAAAGGAGCTGATAGTAAATTAAGATGCATAAGGGAACCAAATTAAGACGTTTACATTCAATAATAGTAGCAGGTGTCTCAGTGATGTAAACTTTGATACAGTTAGTGACTCCTGTAATTAAATAAAATAAACCCATCTACATGAAAGAGTATATATCATGAGCCAATCAATAAAATATTGCCTCTGCAGAATACTGGATTTTCATATGCAAATTAAACACTAGTCCAAAACCAGCTCTTGACATGAACAATACAGTAATATAAGAAGTAAAGGCTTATAAAATTAGGTCTAAGTCTTCTTCTTGCTGCAGGATTGACCACATAATTGATATTGCAAAAACTCTCTGGACAGATAATTGTGTCAAAGTTAAAAGTATTGTTTAAAGCACAAAATGCCAAAAACTTTCTTCAATTAACTTGTTCAGACATTTAACAAAATTTAATGTTGTTAGACTTAGGACAGTTGCTTAAATGAGCAATGATTTATTCTTTATATTAATGATAACAAGAAACATTAAGTACAAAGTGTGGTGATGTCAGAGGTACTAGTAATAGCAAAATATATGATGCTCTAGGTAAAAGAAGACAAGTGCATACAAGGCCAAGATTTGAAATTCTCAATGGACTGTAAGGTACAACCCTTTTTCAGGAACACAAATGAATCAAGTTTTCACAGGCAAGATTGTTTCTTTTGTTTTGCTAGCATCCTGTGTTGACTGCTCTGTTGTGTCAGCACCCTGTGTTGACTGCTCTGTTGTGTCAGCACCCTGTGTTGACTGCTCTGTTGTGTCAGCACCCTGTGTTGACTGCTCTGTTGTGTCAGCATCCTGTGTTGACTGCTTCATTGTGTCAGCATCGAGTGTTGAATGCTTGGTTGTCTCAGCATCTTGAGTTGACTGCTTGGTTGTGTCAGCATCCTGTGTTAGCTGCTCTGTTGTGTCAGCACCCTGTGTTGACTGATCTGTTGTGTCAGCACCCTGTGTTGACTGCTCTGTTGTGTCAGCATCCTGTGTTGACTGCTTGGTTGTGTCTGCATCCTGTGTTGACTGCTTCATTGCATCAGCATCCAGTGTTGAATGCTTGGTTGTCTCAGCATCTTGTGTTGACTGCTTGGTTGTGTCAGCATCCTGTGTTAGCTGCTCTGTTGTGTCAGCATCCTGTGTTAGCTGCTCTGTTGTGTCAGCATCCCGTAGAGACTGCTCTGTTGTGTCAGCATCCCATTGAGACTGCTCTGTTGCATCAGCATCCCATAGAGACTGCTCTGTTGACTCAGCATCATTTGAAGACTGCTCTGTTGTGTCAGCATCCTGTGTTAGCTGCTCTGTTTTGTCAGCATCCTGTGTTAGCTGCTCTGTTGTGTCAGCATCCTGTAGAGACTGCTCTGTTGACCCAGCATCCTGTGTTAGCTGCTGTCTTGTGTCAGCATCCTGTGTTAGCTGCTCTGTTGTGTCAGCATCCCGTAGAGACTGCTCTGTTGTGTCAGCATCATGTGAAGACTGCTCTGTTTTGTCAGCATCCTGTGAAGACTGCTCTGTTGTGTCAGCATCCTGGGAAGACTGCTCTGTTGTGTCAGCATCCTGGGAAGACTGCTCTGTTGTGTCAGCATCCTGTGTTAGTTGCTCTGTTGTGTCAGCATCCTGTAGAGACTGCTCTGTTGTGTCAGCATCCTGTGAAGACTGCTCTGTTGTGTCAGCATCCCATAGAGACTGCTCTGTTGTGTCAGCATCCTGTGAAGACTGCTCTGTTGTGTCAGCATCCTGTAGAGACTCCTCTGTTGTGTCAGCATCCTGTAGAGACTGCTCTGTTGTGTCAGCATCCTGTGAAGACTGCTCTGTTGTGTCAGCATCCTGTAGAGACTGCTCTGTTGTGTCAGCATCCTGTGAAGACTGCTCTGTTGTGTCAGCATCCTGTGTTAGCTGCTCTGTTGTGTCAGCATCCTGTAGAGACTGCTCAGTTGTGTCAGCATCCTGTGAAGACTGCTCTGTTGTGTCAGCATCCTGTGTTAGCTGCTCTGTTGTGTCAGCATCCTGTGAAGACTGCTCTGTTGTGTCAGCATCTGGTGTTTTGTCTCCTTTCACATCTGATTTGTACAAAATTTTATGATCCACTTGAATTCCCTCTAGATCTTCTGATTTCACAAAGAAATACAGTCTCTCAGCCAAGAAATCAAACAATATGTCAAAGCTAGTGAAAGACGTCCACTCATGTTTGTCTGTACCTGGGAAATGAAAAGACAGATCTTATTACAAGATGTGATGGGTCATTTACAATTGATCGCTCTGAAATGGCTCTGTCACTTACCTAGTTTAAACTAATTAATTTCAATTTAGTAAATACTTTAATGAACCAGAAAAGTTTTTGCAAGTACTTCTTGCAAAAATGGAAGCACTTCAGTTTTCCCTCATATTTACTTTGTAAAATTTCAGAATGCAGAAATGGATGAAAATGTTTAAACTATTATGTCAAGTAAAATACAGGGCAATGGCTCAATTTTCTTCATTCAAGAAATTGGATTATTTTAAGATTGAAATGAAGTACTAAACAAACCTTCAGCATAAAATGAATAAATAATAACAATTTTTCACAAATAAGGATACAAATCACACAACCATTACTTGCTTGACTTCAAAATATATATTCATAGACATTCAAGATTGTAAAGGGCAACAAATATTTTACAAATCACCTTCACAGTAACCTTGACCTACATTATGTTACTCGAGAGCTACAGTGGATGCTTTTCAAGTTTTCAGGCAAAGAAACTTGATATTATATCCATGAGGTCGCCACACATTTTCTCTAAAAATCCAGCAAAACATTGAAGCATCCCTATCTATATGGAGCTGCATAACTAATAAGATCACAACAATCTACCTGCCGATACTGCAGGACACTCATCATTATCTTCATTTTGGCGAGTGTTTTTGGGTGCATAGCTGGCAGCAAAGTTACATCCTCGCTGAAACATGACAAACAGGAGTCAAAGGCATTCAGAATTTATGTTGAATATTAAATCACATCAGAAAAGTGTAACAAGGCTAAAGAACAATAAACACTAACAGACGATCCTACACAACAGACATTCTAACAGCATGTTAGTTAAACTAGTGTCCAGGATATCCCAGAAATCATCACACACTACCAGGCATTTCAAGGGTGATAATATCACCTTTACTTTAGGCAGATTTTCCTAAAAAAAATTTAAACATGTGATGAATCCCACAACATCCTAAGCAAATACAAAATTTCATTACAGTTCAGACAAAAATGACCATAAAAAGATTTTTCAATATCGCTGTCACAATGCCCATATTGAAAACGAATACGACCCTCTTCGATCAATTCAGGCATCATTATTGCTGGGAACAAGCATGTGAAACTTCACCTATATATTGGTTCATTGGTTGATGTTTGTAGTATGCAGAAATGCACTTTGAGAGAATGTAGGAGCATTGTCTAAGTCAAAGATCAAATAAAGGTCATAATTTACAATATCACAAAAAAGGAAAATATGCTGAACCCCACTACTTAAGACATCGAACAATAGTTATCATTGTTAATCATTCTAAGAATACTACCTCTATTACATCTTTGCCATAAATCCTGTACTTTGGATGCAGTCACACTAACTAAAATTTTCAGATTTTCAACGGACGTCCTCTTCACTGTCAATCACACACAATTAGTTGTTCCCAATATAGATCTATAGCAACCCAAGCTTTGACGTGAGTAATGACAGGAATCTCAACTCTTTCCAACAGCTAGCCACTAGAGGCAGATGAATTGGGGAGGTGGCTTGAGTACTTCCTGATGTAATAGAGGTAGTATTCTTAGAATTATAAATAACGATAACTATTGTTCAATAATTCTTGCAAATCCTCTACCTCTATTACATCTTTGCCAGAATATACCAGAGGGACCCTGAGGGATCTGCCTCCAATGTAGTTGTGTAATTGATGTAATCCTCTTCTGGAAACCACTTATTTATTGATTCTAATCCTGAGATGAGATAATTTCCTCTGAAATTCCTCCTGAGGACTTGAAAATCAGAATGCATCAAGAATCAGTCAAATATGTGATACCTTCACTAGAAATTATTGTTATATTTGCTGATCTTGTTAGTATTACTGATGTCACTTTCCATCACTGTAGGCATAGTTGAACTGTGATGTTGTCCCAGTAGGGTGAAAAGAGTGACAACTGGTCCGGCGTTGTGAACGATGACCCAGTTGAGGGTCTTTAGGTTGATTATCATCCTCATGTCAGTCATATTCTTTTTCAGAACTAGGAATACCGGAGAATAAAAACCTTGGTCTTGTTGGTCTCCGCTAGTCTCCGAATGGATCACTTCTTTAGTAGCTTCCTGACGGCCAGATCTGCTGCCGCTAGCTTGGCTCCGACTAGATGAAATCTGTGTTCGACGACTTGCGATTTCAAAATAGGATGTTTCTTGAAATGCAGTTTGTATCCGTGAGCCACGATGCCAGAATCCAGAGGTCGGGCGTAATCTGCTTCTAATGTTCGGCATATGAAAGAAGACGCCCTCCCTCTTGCCCCAGAGTCGGTATTTTGTTGTAAAGACGGTAGGTGTAGACTTAACCAGGTTGACAGGGTCTGTGACAGCGGAGTTGTTGACGCTGAACCAATAGTAGCTTTGAAGACATCCAGACTTGGGTGGAGAGTAAGTCTTCCTGCATTCTGACCATGGTGTCTAGCAGGCTGTGGATGAGTCCGACTTGATCTGTCCTGATAGTCATAGGCGTGTCTCCGGTTATGCCGTCATATGTCTGTAATGGTGGAATGATGTGGACATGTGAAGGCATATTGATGATCTGAAAGTGGAGTATTGTCATAGCGACTGATTTGGGACAACCATTGTCTGAATGAACATTTAATTCCAAAGGCTTATTACCCTGGAGCCGTGTCATCTATATGCCTTGAAACTTCCTTCCCTTTGGTTGGTTGGTTGGTTGGTTGGTTTGTTGTTTAAAGTCGCACTCAGCAATATTACACATATATGACGGCGGTCTGTAAATATTTGAGTCTGGACCAGAAAATCCAGTGATTAATATCATGAGCATCGATCCACGCAATTGGGATCGATGACATGCATCAACCCGATCCCGTGAGTCGCCTTTTACGGCAAGCATGGGTTGCTGAAGACCTATTCTACCCCCGGCCCCTTCCCTTTGGCTTTCTTGACTGACTCAGCCAACTTGAGAAATGTTGACAGTGAGAGTAAAGGCCACTGCTCACATCTGTTATCGTCTGTATATCGTACCTCACAGCACTTCCAACAAGCAGAGTGATGGTTCCTTGAGACTATAAACTGTTCTCACTTCCCGGATATTGAGTGCCCTGTACCTCAACAAGCAGCCCCAAGCACGTGAGTAACAAAACAATCAGTTACTGAAGATAAAACTTCCTAAAAGAGCTGAATTAATACAAACTAGACTACAGTGTGAAACGTGCTAGAGAAACAAAACTCAGAAAAAAAGTTGATCCTTTCTCTAGTACACAGAGGAAAGAAGTGAGATTTCCCCCGCTTTGCTCATGCAAGAGTCGTAGGCAGCTATGTGCTGATGTGGGTACAACTACTCATGTATAGTTGACAGTGAAGTGGACTTCGGTTGTAGATTTTGTTTTTGTGTTATTACTGTCAAAATACATAATTAGGGCAATGATGTAGTAGAGGTATAGTATTCACAAGAATTATATGTGTTGAACCCCACTACCAACCACACATATACCAAATTTAATTACATTTTGAACAAAAATGGTTTAGTTGTTACATGTAAATATTATTTAAGATTGTAGAAACTGTTGTAAAAATAAACTCACCCCCAAAAGAAACACAAATACCATACATGTTGGTTAATATATGAAGACTTACTTATATTCAAGAGATATTAGATTGGTTCGATGCATAACAACCATATTGGTATGTTTTTAACCGATGCTCATGACTGCATCACATGCGAAGTCATAGATCTATGACTCAAGATGCACCATTTGTCTTTCGCCGGTTTAGCGTGTACAGTTAGGAATTCATTTGCCGCATATCGTGACAAGAATAAAGACACTCTGTAAAACACTAACTGATCGTTAGTTTTGTCATTAATTGGTACACATTGGAAACATCTCTTCTTAACATACATACTTCTCTATATGTTTCTATTGTTCATGTTTCTTTTGGCAACAAGTATATTTGCAGATATTATGGGTGGCAGCAAATGATTGAAGTAATAGTATTTTATCAAATGCTATCATGGACTGAGATTAGGCTGTACCGGGGTAAGAGGCACAAGAGGACTGGTTCTAAAAGCTGGCTGGACCTATACAGGTGCCACAAAGGGTCAGTTTCTAGAAGCTGGCTGTACCTTTAAAGAAGCCACAAGGGGACACCCAGATAGCATTCAGACGTTGGCTCAACATTGGCAATGGTTGGCAGTGTTGCGCTCAGATTTCATATGTTGGCCTAACATTGTTATCAGCATTTTAGAAATTATTTTCTACTCTTAATTAAAAGCTCACAGAGGGCGCTGCGTTCTTTGCACCTTTCTACGAGCAGACGATGCGACACAAGCACAAGCTATATTAAGAGACACAAGAGGACAGATTACAGAAGATGGCTGTACCTATATAGAAACCAAAAGAGCACAGATTCTAGAAGATGGCTGGACCTACATAGCAGCCACAAGAGGGCAGATACTAGAAGATGGCTGTACCAACATAGGAGCCACAAGAGGACAGATACTAGAAGATGGCTGTACCTATACAGAAACCAAAAGAGCACAGATTCTAGAAGATGGCTGTACCTACATAGCAGCCACAAGAGGGCAGATACTAGAAGATGGCTGTACCAACATAGCAGCCACAAAGGGGCAGATACTAGAAGATGGCTGTACCAACATAGCAGCCACAAGAGGACAGATACTAGAAGATGGCTGTACGTATATAGGAGCAATAAGAGGACAGATACTAGAAGATGGCTGTACCAACATAGCAGTCACAAGAGGACAGATACTAGAAGATGGCTGTACCAACATAGCAGCCACAAGAGGACAGATATTAGAAGTTGGCTGTACCAACATAGCAGCCACAAGAGGACAGATACTAGAAGATGGCTGTACCAACATAGCAGCCACAAGAGGACAGATACTAGAAGATGGCTGTACCAACATAGCAGCCACAAGAGGACAGATATTAGAAGATGGCTGTACGTATATAGCAGCCACAAGAGGACAGATACTAGAAGATGGCTCTACGTATATAGCAGCCATAAAAGGACAGATACTAGAAGTTGGCTGTACCAACATAGCAGCCACAAGAGGACAGATACTAGAAGATGGCTGTACCAACATAGCAGCCACAAGAGGGCAGATACTAGAAGATTGCTGTACCAACATAGCAGCCACAAGAGGACAGATACTAGAAGATGGCTGTACCAACATAGCAGCCACAAGAGGACAGATACTAGAAGATGGCTGTACCTATATATAGGAGCCACAAGAGGACAGATACTAGAAGATGGCTGTACCAACATAGCAGCCACAAGAGGACAGATACTAGAAGTTGGCTGTACCAACATAGCAGCCACAAGAGGACAGATACTAGAAGATGGCTGTACGTATATATAGGAGCCACAAGAGGACAGATACTAGAAGATGGCTGTACCAACATAGCAGCCACAAGAGGACAGATACTAGAAGTTGGCTGTACCTACATAGCAGCCACAAGAGGACAGATACTAGAAGATGGCCGTACCAACATAGCAGCCACAAGAGGACAGATACTAGAAGATGGCTGTACCAACATAGCAGCCACAAGAGGACAGATACTAGAAGATGGCTGTACCAACATAGCAGCCACAAGAGGGCAGATACTAGAAGATTGCTGTACCAACATAGCAGCCACAAGAGGACAGATACTAGAAGATGGCTGTACCAACATAGCAGC